GAACAAACAAATTAAGGACAATAAAAAGCTGTGAAAGTTTATATATGTTAAAAATGCATGCTTAGCTAAAAATATAAAAGACGTTGAAGCTGCTTTAAAAGTCTAAGGTCTCTATATATTTATAAATCATTGGAAAATTTCATTATAAAGGATTACAAAAAAATGGAGCAAGAAAATCATTTACTCGGGATTTAACTCCATGGCTAATTACTTGAGCAATTGCCTCACGCAAGCTGTTTGGTAAAGGGATACAGAAGACTGCACCCAAAGTCGGCCCAAGAGAATTTTGTACAAAATTAATAGCTCCTGATAGCAATCTGTCATCGCCAACCAGAAGACGCCTGAGATCCAAGTTGAGCCTGCATTCAAACTGTCTTTCTAATCTTCGAAGTGTCAATGCACTAATTATCTAAAAAAAGCTTGTTAGAATTTCATAAATGATACAAATAATAGGAGAGCATTTACCTGGTTATATACGAAATTTAGGCAAACAAGAAGATGACTTATTGGTTCATATGCCCTCCCGACGGCAACTAGGATCAAATGGCTGCGACCCAGGAAAACAAATTTTCTTTCGTCGCTAATCAGAGTCTGAAGGTGATCACCGGAAGCTTCGACGAAAGAAATAAGTGCCTGCATTACTGCCATCATTGGTGCTAATTTATTCTCGTCTCCGTATCTTAAAAGTTAGTATACATTTAGAGGAATTACCTAGAATAAATAGGCTTTCCAGCCTCGCTTAATACAAAAACGTGGAGATCCTTTTGCTTCCAAACGTCTTCTAAAATTGAATCATCTTCAGAATCGGATTGAGATAAGCGTGCCGAACGAGAAATAAATGGGTCTTTGCAAGGAGTAATGCCCAGGTGGTCATCAATAGTGGAAGTTGTTAAAGCAGAATTCTCATCCTTACAATTAAATAGCAATAATTTAAGAACTAACTCGTTCTTCGTCACCTAACGCAACTCCGTTATCCATGTACCTTGAGTTACATAATATGCTCCGTACTGCCCCAGTGCGATGAGTAGCACCCCTAGCCAAAGCCTCAGCAATATCTCCAGAGTGTTCATCAGGCTTGATTGAACATACAGAATCATCCCAATTTTCTTCATCAGGATTAGTATTTAAAACAGACGTGAACGAGATATGAGGTACATCAGGTTCCATAAATAAACAAATGAAGCGGATGGAGGCATTACTAGTTAAAACTATATTTAGACCTTAAAGATAAATCCAAATTTATAAAAGAATATAATAATTATCAGTATAAGATCAAAAATTTAGATTTATTTATCTTAAATGAAAATGCATTTAAATGTCTAAAATGTATTTATTATGACAAATCTCGTTTACCGTATTTTC